ATAAATATTAACATTGAAAATGTTTCTGTTATCCTATATAAGGGAGCCCAAATCGAATTAAAATGCTACATTTGCCACACCATGACGTCATATATACAAGGGTATAGGAAATATCGGCGCAGCGGCGGCAGTCGGCCAGCGCGCGCAAAAACCATTACATCGCTAATTGTTTATTGATATATCTTTATTAGTTTAAAAGCAAATAATATGGGTTTTGCTTTGATACCTTGTCAAGACATAAGCGAAACTTATCTTTCTCAATTATCCTTCAAAGAATAAAAAATAACCTATAGAGTATTAGTGCTCTTAATAAATAAAAAAAGATGAAAAATAAAAAACATCTATGCTCACTAGCTCTCTATAAAGAAGTAAAAAATCATTTAAATCAATGCATGAACGATTCGAGGTGTAACGCGAACGTAGTCGCGGGAAAAAGCTAGTAATTTATTAAATTATTTTATTTAACTGATTAATTTTCATTGAAAAGGAATTTTTGTAATTCGCCACTATATTAGTTAAAAACTAAGAAACTCATATCAATTTTAAGTTTTGCGATTTTGACTTATACTTTTTACAAAATCTGAACACATTTTAAAAGAAAAAAAGCTTTTGATAATATTTGTGTAGATTGACTACAAATTGTATAACATAAATTTCTACGACCGGTCTACCTAGTGGTCTGCAGCATCGCCTTGTGGTGCAAACGTGGGCCTGTTAATCTGTGACGTGACGCACAACAGCCAAGAAAAACAGAAGCGTGGCTAAGAATTTAGTAATTTAAAAAAAAAATCTTTTAGATACAGTAGTAGGTATTAAAAAGTTTTGTGTTTAAATGGGGTTTGCCTTTAACAGTTAAAAAATTATATCGTAATGTGTAACTTTCCGTAAGAATTCTTTATCTGTCATCGATCATGATCTGTCATCATGTTAACCTGATGTTTTGTATGTTATTTTGTTTTTTTTGCTTGTTTGTTTTACGGATAGGTGCAATCGCATAATTATTATTGATAATGTTTTATTTAAGGTTAACATTACTACTTTTTCAGTGAATCTTTAAATCTGTTGTTTTTTGTTAAGTTCGTTATTTAAACATATGTATGTAATACACTCATATTAACACTAATCATATTTTTACGTTTTTATTCATCATTTTCAATGCCCCCCCGGTTGCATCTTTGTAAAGGACTGTGAATTTTTTTATATAGTTTTATAACATTTACAATTATTTTTCGATTTATTATCTGTTATACCTGGTATAGAAATATTTTTTATAGTTGTCTAGGACACATTTTTATAACTTTTACAGTGATCTTTTGATTTATAATAAAGTTTCAATAAGATTATTTTTTTGATTTAAATCACATGATTAAAATTAAAAAAAACACCCCTCAAATATTACAATATTTTTTATTTACAAAACAGTCAAGTTTCCGAAAAAACGCTTAAACACGTATATTTTATTTTGTTTTTTAACATATTTTAAGATTTTTTAAAAATGTATACAGGGTGTTTCGAAAAATCAGGTCATTGATTAATCACGATCCAGCTTAAAGTGCTTGACGTAAAAAGCTGATTTTTGGAAAACAGATTGACTTTAGGGTGTAGAGGTTCGATAAGAAGGGATTTTTCGAAACTCCAATTCTAAGGGGGTGAAACTATCCCTCAAATATTAAAATATTTTTTATTTAAAAACTGGTGAGTTTTTCGGAAAAACTCTTAAACTCGTATATTTTATTTTGTTGTTTTACATATTTTAAGATTTTTTTATAAATTTACACAGGGTGTTTCATAAAATATGACCATTGAGTAATCACGATTCTGCTTAAACTGCTTTAGCGCTTAAAGCTGATTTTTGGCAAACGGTGGGGTGTAGAGGTTCGATAAGGAGGGGTTTTTCGAATCTCAAATTCCAAGAGGGTGAAAACGCCCCTCAAATATTACAATATTTGTTATTTAAAAACGTTTGGTCTTTCGGGAAAACGCTTGGACAAGCATAATTTATTTGGTTTTTTACATATTTTGAAATTTTATCCAGTTTGTAAGTTAATGGAAATTCTTGCTTTGCTTTATCAGTACCATTACAAATGATTAATTCGACGCGAACGAAGTCGCTGGTACACGCTAGTAGTAGATAAAATAGTACTTTAATCGCAAGGGTAGATTAAATGATACTTTAACAGCGAGGATAGGTTAAAAACTTTATTTCTTCTCGCACGTTTTTTAATTGCTTCCATTTTTGAAAATTTTTGTATTCCTTTTCATAACTTATTCGGGATTTAAATGGAAGTAGTTTGGATATGGCGTTTGTCGCCTCAGCCTGAATATCTGTTGGTAATTTACTTATTTCGTTTTGGGCCATTTCTGGCTCCAACTCAATCAGCAATCGACACGAAAGGGAATTAAAAAATATTGACTCAAAACTGACAACTAAAGAGACAGCTTTATTTATTTGACAAATTACATAGAAACCAACGCCAACCCAGCACAATATTTTTTCTACTACTCGTAGTAAATTCCTTGAAATAATAATTTCTGAATATTTTTTAAAACATAACTCGCTGTGGAAAAAAATATTGTTTTATACACGATTGATAAAATTGCATATCGTCTCCCGAAATTAATTCACTGGCGATTTCATCGCTCGTTTCATTTCTAAAAAATGCTTTAATAATTTAAATATATTCCAGTTGAGAGTTGGAACCTGGGACCTTTGGTGTCACAGCATCAAAACAAAACACTAATTCACCACAATACACCAAATCACTTTACTTTTAAACTCTGAACACGTTTCGCTAACCATGTTAGCATCATCATCAGCAGATGATGATGACTAAGACTGCTTTAAAAAAAGTTTCAATCTTCTGCTGATGATGCTAACATGGTTAGCGAAACACGCGTCCTGTGCTGACAAGCAGTGTAAAAATTAACTATTTTCTAATTATAGTATTCTATATTGGAATTTGTAGAATTTTGTAGTAAGGCATGTTTTTATTTTTTTTTTCTTAATTAAATTTAAAATTAAAAAAGTTTTGGCCCATGGGGGGATCGAACCCACGACCTTCGCGTTATTAGCACGACGCTCTAACCAACTGAGCTAATGGGCCAGATGTATGGAATTATCTAAGTGTATTCTACGTGCCTGTAACAATATAGTACCTAATAATACATGTCTAATCTTTACGATAAGTACAATATAAAATAAACTATTTTTGCTATATAAAATTGTCGTAGTTGAGTAATTCTCTACCATATCAATCGACCATAAAAGACCATACCAATAGGTATGGTAGGCTATTAGGATCGGCAAAAAAATAGTTTTTTTAATATCACTCAAAATGAGTTACTTGGGTCATAAATGACCCAAATACAAAATATTTTTATGGTGTCTGTCTGTCTGTCTGTCCGTCTGTCCGTCTGTCCGTCTGTCCGTCTGTAACCGCTGAACCGATTTTAACCAAATTTGGCACAAAAATACTGTGGCACCCGAGAATCTGGCCATTAGTTTTTGGTGGGGGTGGGAGATTGGTAAGGGGGTATGGGAGGGGGTTAAAAATTTAAAAAAATCGTAACTCAAAAATTACAGTAGCTAGCGAAACGCGGTTGTCCAGGGTATTTTCAGGAGTCTTCTGTAGATCCGCATTTCAAAAGCTTCCAACCGTCTCATGGTGTTCATTTTAATCGTCCATGTCTCACAGTCGTATAGGAGGATTGTGTATATGTTACGGTTAAAGTCCGATGTCCGGTTAATGTCGACATTAACATGTTAATGTTTGAGTTAGGTTATGTTTCTGGTGGTTTTGTTGTGTGTTATTCTCGAGATTAACCGGGCAAGGTCGACATTAACCGGACATCGGACCTTAACCGTAACATATACATAACAATGGACAAAACGCAGACGTGTGTTGATGTTGAGTGATCGGTTACATAATAGGTGTCTCATTTTGTTAAACATTGATCTAGTCTGTTCTATACGCGATGTAACTTCTAAGTCGGGGTCAAGGTCCGATGTTAGCCAGGATCCCAGTTAGCCATTAGCTTTAAAAATCGTTATCCACTGAGAGATTGTCTTATATAAGTCATAAGTTGCTTATATTTGTAGCCAAAATTCGTTTTGAAGCCGAGGGCTTACTGTGTTTGGTGAAAGAACATCAGAAAAAAAAACAAATTATACTGCTATTTACTACGTAGAGATAGATTATACAGACATTGATGACCTTAATTTACCGAAGTTTATACAGGGTGTCTCAAAAAACATGAGCCATCTCTCGTGGGGAGATTCCTCACGTAAAAATAAGATTTATTTTTCATATTAACATAGGTTCGAATCTGCTTTGTTTCGTAGCTGCAGGGTGATAAAGTCTTAATTTTTTTTTGATTTATTATAATTTTCTTTCAAGTTAGCATTTCGAATGAAAAAGTACTCATTGATTCCTCATCAAAATATATGAAAAAAAGTTTCTATAAACATGGGTATGGAAATGCATAGTTTTAGAGTTACAGGATGTTAAAACTTTTTAAAATTAGCTTTTTTCTAATTATCTTAAATACCATTATTTTTTTTATTTGAAATTGCTGTATGTTGGACTAATAGTAATAATATTTAATAATAAATTATTGTGGCGCACATGTTTTTTTCTTGAAAAATATTCCAGTGATAACCCATATGCCCCGTGATGAATTTATTGACACTTTTTTAGCATTAAAATATGTAACACTTATAGTAACTTTTACCCCCAAAATTTCATTCAAATCACTAAAAGTACTTGGAAGAAAATTAGAATAAATCGAAAGATTATTAAGATTTTAACATCCTGTAGCTACGAAACAAAGCAGAATCGGACCTATGTTGATATGAAAAATAAGTCTTATTTTTACGTGAGGAATCCCCTCACGAGAGATGGCACATGCTTTTTGAAACACCCTGTATATGGTTATGCTACTATTTTTGTTAATTTGTTGTATGTTTGAGAAGTAATTTTATATAAATATTTGTATTTCAGGTTCAACCTGTTGCAGAACTGAGCGAACTGAGCCGTAGGTCTGCTCACGATGGCGGCGAAATCGAGTTGGACGATGCAAACATCCGAGGGGGTACTCTGAAGAGATCCGGAAGTAGAAGATACAACAAATCGACGACGGTGAGTCATTTTTGTTTACGTCTTGTCGAAATTAACATATGTCGAGCTTAACGAGCTGTCGGTCTCTTTGATTCCTGTTCAAACACCTTCGCGGTAACGCCTTTACATATTTGTGCTATGTCTGTGTCGATAGGACAACAAACGCTTTGTTTCGTAATAATGTAGTATTGTAATATGTTGAATAATCGGAAAGTATGCAGGGTGATATTGAAATGGTGTAGAAATAAATAATTGTTAGCTCTCCCAAAAAACTGATTAAAAGATCTAATAAGGGTCTAGGTACGGTCAGAAAATGCAGATTATTAAGAGAGTTTTTTGTAAATAGCCAGATTGCAAATTTATAGTAATTTTTTAAAAGGTTCATACAACAATTCGGAAAACAATTTGTAACAGTAATTCAGACAACAATTCTGAACTATAAATTAAACCGTGTAGTATCTTATACAAGTTGCGTACATTAATGTTCCCTTATTCTCTCTCCATCAGACGAATCGGCCTGAGCACATCCCCATAGACAACATCCTTACCCCTAATACTTATCTTAAAACTCACACACACAAACCTGACCAACTTTCTCTGTACTCTCAATGTTACAATGTTACTTCAATCAATGTTACTTCAAAGTTCTCTTAATCTCAGTGGTTTTAATGCGTTATTAGTTATATGGTTTACATGAAAGTTAAAATTTAAGTTGCTATATATCAAAATATACTCCAAGGTAATTGACTACTTCTTTGTTCTCCAATGGTATGTTGTTAATATTATATTGATATTGAATAAAATTTTTAATACAATAGAATCTTAAGACAAAACATTTGTTTATATTCAATCTTGAAGTCTCAGACAGTCATCTAAATTCTCAATTATTAACGAGTAATTACCTCGATTTACTTAATTAATTAAGTAAATCTTTTAAATCGTCAGCAAATAAAAGGCACTTGGACTGTTTCAAACAGTGAGTTAAATCATTGATACAAATGATAAACAATATTGAAGCTAGATGTGAATCTTGCGGTACGGACTTGTCGAAGAAATCACTAGAAACAAAATTACCAATTTTAACTTGCTGACTTGAAGAAGACCACAATAGGATCTGAGATGGTTGCAGTGGATCAGGCCTTTGATCAGGCCCATATATACCTCAAGAAATCTAATCTAATTTGCGGACTTCTGTTAGTTAAATAGCATTTAACTACTTATTGCTCTGCAGAGTTTATATCTTTTTTAGTAACCAGTTAGGTAGACATATAATAATATTGTAAAATCCTAAAATTAAGAAATTGGCGCTTATCAAGTTTTTTCCCTGGACCCTTCAAATAGAACATGCTTAATAAGCTTTTTGTATTTTCTAGAATGTTTTTGCTTATAATATTTATTTCGTTTCCAATATTGTTCGTTTAAATTTAATTTCTGCTCTAGGTCTTTCACTCACTAATTCATATATTGTATTTATAGTTTGACGTGTCACGAAGTGCATTGATTTTAAATTATTTAGGTCAATAGATAAACATAATTTTTTACACTATACCTACGTGTACAACGCGCAATGGTGTAAATAATTATTACTTTGCAGGAAAACCAAATGATATTGCTAACGTTTTTCTAAAATCAGTGGTGACTATTAATATCCTTTATAAATATGTTAAAAATATGCTAGTACTAGTCTTGAAAGATGAGCTATAAAAATATTTTTTTTTTCAACATGATTTTAGTTCATCTCGTCTGTTCATTTTGTTAATGATTTTATTTTGTTCTGTTACCCAGCTTTTTTTTTAATTACCAATATTTTTTTTATTAATAGTTATTTTTTATACAAGACGAAAAAATCTTATTTTATCGTCGATTCGGGAGACGATAATGCAATTTTATCGTCGTGTATAAAACAATATTTTTTTTTCCATAGCGAGTTACGTTTTAAAAACTATTCAGAAATTATTATTTCAAGGAATTTATTACGAGTAGAAAAAATATCGTGTTGGGTTGGCGTTAGTTTCTATGTAATTTGACAAATAAATAAAGGTGTCTCTTTGGTTATCAGTTTTGAGTCAATATTTTTTAATTCTCTTTCGTGTCGATTGCTGATTGAATTGGAGCCAGAAATGGCTCAAAACGAAATAAGTAAATTACCAACAGATATTCAGGCTGAGGCGACAAACGCCATATCCAAACTACTTCCATTTAAATCCCGAATAACTTATGAAAAGGAATACAAAAATTTTCAAAAATGGAAGCAATTAAAAAACGTGCGAGAAGAAATAAAGTTTTTAACCTATCCTCGCTGTTAAAGTATCATTTAATCTACCCTTGCGGTTAAAGTACTATTTTATCTACTATTTTTGATAGGTATAAGGCAATTTTAACTGTTGCTATATGGAAAAAAGAATAAAAACTAAATTTTTGGAACTCCATATTTTGTATATGGATTTTTAAGGTAACTTCTATTTCCCTTTATTTGTCAGAATAATTGATTTTTTTTTGTTACACCTCTATTATAAGAAGTGTTTTAAATATAACTAAATATCAAACTAACACGTTAGTTAATATTTATTTACATATACCATTTGAACAGGAAGTAAGAGAGTTTCTCTTAGTTATTTATCTAAAGTAAATATAATTTTCTCTTTAATCAATTGAAAATACCTACATCATATTATCACGGTACAATTTGCATACTACATTGCGATATTTAAAACAAATAATATCGTTGCACAGAAGAATGTTTCCTTATTTATAATTCACTTTTATTTCTGTCGTAAAATGCAAGTAAATAATTGAAATTACTTCCAATTAATTGAAAAGAGAGCGTAAAATCTATACTAGGATATCGAAACGACTCGTAAGTATGTGATAGAAAAAGTGTACTTGTAAAAACAGGTTCTAGTAAAAATATCGATCAGTGATGATTTTTTCTCGACATTCAAGTACGATAGCGCATAGGCGTAGAGGAGGCACATTTCGGATATTTTGTCGTATTTTTGTACGGCTATGTTTTAATTAACTTATTTGGTTTTTGAAAAACGTTTGTTCCCTTCTAATATCGAAAACTAATCACACTTGCTTCAAAACAGAAAACTTAACAGTTTTTTTAATCTGATTTTTATCTAACAATATTACATAATTATTTCTATATCTACTACTAGATTATACACAGTGACAGTTGTGTCTGTCATTCTTTAATGTGTCAGTCGTGTTTGTCATTTTTTAGTTTTGTCACACTTCGTCACTTGTCACTTGTATATTATGTAATTTTTGGGATGTCGTATGTCAAAATCTTCACTGACTAGTTGTAAAGACTATAGGTTAGGTGGAATGTCCGACAGTGTGGGAGTTAGATTGTTATCCACTAAAAATGGGTGTCCCCCAACGGTCTAAGATAGTCGAGAAAACCGAGAAGAATCAAAGGCTTTCCTTGATAAGTAAATACAATCTTCGGATTGTCACGGGGTTTCTAACAGGTAGGCAGACACCTCAGTAGGCTGAAGCTGAGAAACAACGGCGAATGCAAATTCTGTGGGGTAAATGGGGAAACACCAGAACACCTTATCACTGAGTGCACCAAGACGACGACGAGATTCGTGCCATGAACTTTGGTACGGCTGATGTCGAGGATGGAGAGCTGGCCTCTGTGGAGCCGTCTCAGATACTTTTACTTTTTGCTTTTGTTAAAGCCCTGAGACTATGATGAGTTATAACTCGTTATAACTCAAGAAAGGGGAACACACAATAGATCTCTAAGGTCGCGGTGATTAACTCCCCTCCTAAACATTCTACCCACTAAAAAATCCGCCTTCGAGGCATCAGCTGCCGAAGTATGGTCAAATATTATTCTAGCTGCTACTTAGGAAGAAGGAGAAAAGATTATTTATAGGGTTTCGGAGGGACTATATATGTTTAATTTTGTTTGTCTTGATCCTTGATCATAATAATTGTTGTGTTGCGTAGTAGCATTTGTTTGTTCATTGGTATTGGTATGCGCAGTTATGTTCTATTATTATTATTATTTATTTCTGCTTGTTGTAATTTTATGTTATTAATGTCTTCTGGTATTGAAAAGACTTGATATAACTATAAAATATCATCATTTTCATCTTATTCAACCGTTTCCAATTATGGTGTAGCCTCTCTCACATACTCTCTTTGCTGCGTACATTGTTGTCTATGCGGGCTCAACTTATCCCTGCTAATTTCCTAATATCATGGTCCCATCTCAGGTTGGGTCGTCCTCTAGGTTTTTTTGTGGGTACCATGCTGCAATTTTTGTGATCCATCTGATGTTCGTTCTTCTTGCCTATCTATTCTGCGGAATCTATTACCTGGGTCTTTTGTCGTATCCACTCTATTCTTTTATGGCCTCTCTTGGTTATTTCCAGCATATTTCGTTCCATTGAGCGTTGTGAGACCTGCAGTTTCCTTATGATGCCTTTTTTAAGTGTCCAGGTTTCGCATGCATAGATCATGACTGGTAGTACACATTGGTCGAATGTTTTCTTCTTTAGATAGAGTGGCATTCTAGATTTGAATATGATTGAGTTTCTTTCATAAGTACTCCATGCTAACTTAATTCTTCTGTAGGTATCTGGTAGTAGAGATCTCGGCTTGTGTATATTAGTTGTCCCAAATATATATATGTATCCTTCTAGGTCTCTTAATTCTTCTTAAAGAGAATAGAAAATATATTGCGATATAAATGTTCTTCCATTTGTTTTTTTATTCATATTCATGAAAATCATTCTTTTTGGAGAGATTCCAAATAACGTCATCTAGTAACGAATAGTAACCATTAACAAAGTCATTATTACAGGAAAAAAGAACAAGTGTTTTTTGAATAATAAATTACACAACATTAAAATCGGTTTAACCAAAGCAGAGATATCGACATTTGCATGTGAAAGTGTTCCTAAAAAATATTTCCCGCCTGATTTTTGACAGTAGAGAAGAATAGTCTAGGGGAAAAACATATACCTTATTTGGTGTTGAGATTTGAAAATCGGTTTTAGGTG